TAACGGGATCGGGTGGTCAGGCTCGCTGACTTGGCTAACACATGTCATCGGTTCCCATTTGCGCAGATGGATGCTCATGCTGTTGATCACTGGATTGTCTGGTTCAGGCTCGATTATTTACAGACCGCCGCCATATAGCTGGAATATTGCTGAGTACGGCGTAAAACTAAACTCACTCACTCCTTACATGTTGAAGCCATTTTAACCTCTTACATGTTAAACCCACCTTACCTGCTTATATGTTTAAGTCACATTAACTGCTAACAGGTCTTAGCAACCTTAGCTGCTTACAACTTTAAGCCATCTTAAGTGCTTACATATTGAAGCTCGCTTACATCTATCAAGCAAACCCAACTGCTTCCACATGTAACCTATCTCAACTGCTTACATCATTGAAGCCACCTCAACTTCATATTTGAAACCACCGCAATCACTTATCCTTGAAGCCACCTGATCAACTTACATTGTTAAGCCCATTGCCTTCGTGGACTGATCGGCCCAAAACCGCCAACACTGCCCCTCAGCGAACAGCGAACTGTCTCTGTGAAACCGTCGTAAGCGTTACCTGAATGTTAAACTCTGGGGACATGAACTCCAGAGCATCTTAATGATGATCAATTCAATTCAGATAGCTTAATCATTTTACATAACCAAAAAACCATCACAACAATTCCCCTTGAAGTCGGAATAAAAAACCGGCAACCCCTACAAAACCATTCCCCGAAAGGAGTGAGTGAGTAATTTATTTCCAAAGCTGCACGAGAAACTTCACAACCAATCACCACGTAAATACTGATCGCCCTTTTATCTTCCCACAGCTCCAAGATTCGACATTCATAAGCTGGTGTAGAGCAAGGGGTCAATCGGAATTGTACATGCGCGTTATCGTAATCGGTTTTCCGGGGTAAAGATATCAAAATCATTTTATATTTTGCGCCCATCTGGGACTTCATTCTCTATGCACAGGGTCGCTTACAGAGCGATACCTGCCCCATAAAACAGACTGATATAGCTAAGGCGAGCGTTGTGTGGAGCTTGTATCCTATCAGTAATTCTGGGCTGGTTGCTCCATCTTGAGGCGTCCTCTTTCCATCAACTCGGAGGCGCAGCTTGGACTACTAAACAGACAATAATCATGTCTAACCGTATAAAATAAAGTCAATTAAGGCAACTGTCACCTCCGTTCTCGGATAATCATCGGCAGATTCGATTCTCGAGTGATATACTGGACAACGTCATTGCACGAAACAATGAAACAAGTTGTTGGTATCGCGCGGGCGCTAACAAGGTTATGGAGTTTGGGGCAATATGGACATGCTACCGCTGGTCCTCCACCACGCGGTGTGGAAGGGCAAACTTGTCTCATAATAGTTATGTTTTAGAGGCGTTTGACAGCTTAAGACGCCGGGGTATCGTTTAGAACAGGGAGGACGTCTTGAGGCTCTGTATTGTTGTCCAGTATCAGTTGAAAGCTGTTGTCTGGTCATGTTATCTTTAAGATATTTAGAAGTAGCAGTGTTAATGAAGACAGAGAGGATATATGGTCTCAAATTCCTGCATTCTTGTCGAGTATCAGCTTAAAGGTGTCGAGTTATCTTTACCGATGTTTGAAACATTATCTCTTACGTTTAGAGATGTTATCTTTAAGGAAATGTGTTAATGAAGACAGAAAGGATATATGGTCTCAAATTTCTGTATTCTTGTCGAGTATCAGCTAAAAGCTTTCGAGTCATCTTTACCGATGTTTGAAACATTATCTCTTACGTTTAGAAATGTTATCTTTAAAGGTATTTAGAAGTAGCAGTGCTGATGAAGACCGAGAGGATATATGGTCTCATATTTCTGTATTCTTGTCGAGTATCGTTTTAAAATTATCGTGACTTTATGCTATCTTTAAGGGGATTTAGAAGTAGCAGTGTTAATGAAGACAGAGAGGATATATGGTCTCAAATTTCTGTATTCTTGTCGAGTATCGTTTTAAAATTATCGTGACTTCATGCTATCTTTAAGGGTATTTAGAAGTAGCAGTGTTAATAAAGACAGAGAGGATATATGGTCTCAAATTTCTGTATTCTTGTCGAGTATCGTTTTAAAATTATCGTGACTTCATGCTATCTTAAAGTACATTTAGAAGTAGCAGTATTAATGAAGACAGAGAGGATATATGGTCTCCAACTTCAAATTTCTTGTCGAGCATCAGCTTAAAGGTGTCGAATTATCTTTAGAGATATTTGAAGCATTAGAAACGTTTTCTTTAAGGGTATTTAGAAGTAGCAGTGTTAATGAAGACAGAGAGGACACTTTCGGTTCGTGTGCTAGATCCATTAGTAACACATGGTATAAAGGATTCGCAATCAGATATCATATATCTAATAGTCTTAACACTGGAAATTAGGCATAACCATAACATATATAATAAGTATGACCAATTTGAATGTGTCAACTATATATTTATCTGTTTCTGCAAGGAGACATACCCTTACAATATTTCAAAATTTTAAGATGCATTCTTGTAAACAATACATACAGGTGAATGTAAACAAAATCCTTTTATAACAGTCCGCATGGATGGATGAGTTGGTACACAAGCAAAATGGGAAATTCATTCTCAATGTAGTATTTTCATCTCATCACACAACCCCCCTCCGGCCGCGTCATACCAAAAGAGGTTAAAATGTGGCCTGGCGCTCGGCATTAATGGGTACAACAAGGACTGGTCGGCTCGGAGTCAGTATAATGTGTCTGAGTGGGGTATTCCTGCTTCACTGCGGCATGGTATCTCAGTGGGCTAGCACTATAAAACCTGCTTCAGTCTGGGCTAGTACAAGCAGCCGCACATACACATACACACGCATACACGTCGTCATATGAACGAAATATTCTCAAGTACGGTGTGTGTGTGTGTGTGTGTGTGTAATAGTATAAGAAGTAGACAAACCAGGATGTTGTGTCACACCTATACCCCAGACACAGTACAAAACTTCCGACCCGACCAGTTTTGTCCCCCAAGCACCAGACATGGCAACAACAAGCACCACTACCCCGATATATAGAAATGACACTACAATGTTCCAACGTTTACAACAAGGGTCAGTAAGGCCAATGGTCAGTTTTACTGACAATTGTCACGTCCCGAACCCAATCACCCCAAAGGTCTACGACCACTTGGAACATCACGATTTGGCAGCGTGGGCATTTTCGTCTGATAGCGACCATCTGATGTCTGGCCGCAAATGATTCTCCCGTCCAAAGCGCAATAGCTCCATCACATCCAGGACAACACATCAACAAAGAGGCACTTCGGATCTAGCTGTCTACTGTTGGTTTCAATTAGGAGTTTGTGATGGTCTTTATCATGGGATTAACAATGGACCTCTAGCAGGAACTGGGGTCTTCGGTGCGGGCAAACAAGCGAGGGAGATGACCCATAGGTCTGGGCTTCAAGCCACTGCCAGATGAGTAGGTCGTCTCCATGCACTGTGAACAATAGTTAACGCTGAGACTCCGAGTATTTAATATGAACGTGCGTTGATCAGGATTAGGCTCCGTTGTGGTGAATCGTAATAAGTTCCTGGAAGATGTTCGTGTGTAGATTTGTATTAATGCTCTATAGTGTGATCGTAAGGGGTCGTAAAGGCTTTTGAGGCGATTTCGTGCAGAATTTCCTCCCTTGGTTGTGACAGAATCCAAAAGTTGTGCTTTTAGATATCGTCTGATTCCTCTGTCAACGTCATTCGGTGTTCGTGTGTTTAAACAAAGCAATGATTGGAGTAATGGAAACGTTAAACGTCGGCTATGTGGGTCCCTTTGAAATTCCTCTAACATTAACTTGTCACGTCGCAACTGAAACCTATTCATTCACAGGTCAATCACAATTAAACCAACTCGTCGTTTTTGACGAACATGAGTTCAGCCATAGTGCTTCGTGACAACATGATGTGGCACAAAAGCCCAAAAATGTGAGATATTGGGGTGAAAAACCACGGGAACAGTTTTGATACTGACGCAAACATCGACTCCTGGCGCGTCTGCGGAAGGCAACTTTGAACACCTATTTGTCGACACGTTGACGATTAGGCCAGTAATGCTCCCCTGTGAGCAGGACAATAGTGTTAATGCATTTATCATTCAAAACTCTGTTCCACAGGAGATATAGCTTGTGTGAGATCACACAATATCTTCTAGGAGGTATCGTTTTGACAGTAGATTTTGTACAATGCCCTGACAATGCCATGGCGTCATGAACTTGATGACGTCACCATGCTATGACATCGCTGCACTGCAAATCTAATGGTAGTACAGTGTTCAAAGATGTATTTTTTTTATTGAAAACTAATGAAGAGTGATTTTTTATGATAAATAGAATCTCACCCTGTTGTCTTCTGATATCACATATTTCAACACTCGGCAAGCCTCGGATATCTGTTGCTTTATCAACTCGTGGTGATATATTTGATATCAAGAGACACTCGGGTGAGATTCTCTATATATCCTACCCAAATAAGAATTACAACACCCGATGTTTCATATTACAGTCTGTAGTGGTTGGAACGTCCGCCCAGAGGGCGGAAGGTCGCGGGTTCGATCCCCGACCGCGTCATACCAAAAGAGGTTAAAATATGGTACTTGTTGGTCTCTGCCTGGCGCTCGGCATTAATGGGTACAACAAGGATTGGTCAGCTCGGAGTCAGTATACTGTATCTGAGTGGGGTATTTATGCTTAACTGCGGCATGGTATCTCAGTGGGCTAGCACTATAAAACCAGTTTAAGTCTGGGCTAGTAGAAGCAGCCGTACATACCCATACACACGCATACACGTCGTCATATGAGCGAAATATTCTCAAGCACGACGTTAAACCCAATTTCACCTCACCTCATATTACAGCCAATATACCATCCCACGACAGTGTATATCTAATCATAAGAAAACATCGAGTGTTCTTTAAATTATTTGAGTAGCATAATTGTAAAGGACGTACAAAGCGAATCTAAGACTTACCGTACTCCATGTTCCCGTCTATGAAAGCAATGTTAATTCCACCTGCACACACCGGGCAGAATCCTCAGCATTAAGCCTGTAATATAATAAAAGCTGATAAGCAAACATAGATACATTTTGTTGATTAAAACATATATTTGTTTCCAATTTCAAGCCGAATAGAGCCTAAAGTTCGATAAACATGAAATATTTAGCAGGACAGGACAAAAGGAAACATTATTTTAGGTTTCATTTGTATAATTAAATTCCTCTGGGCGGTATTGGCAGTATTTGACTGACGATGGAAGTGTATGTTTGATTATGTTGTAAGTGTACTGTTACCTGGGCAACAATGATGCTTCAGTAGATGTATAGGTGATAAGGACACATGATGGACATTTCAATCAGGTGTTATGTTTAACTGAAACCTCGGTCTATTTCAGGACCTGTTCATCATCATCATCATCATCATCATCAGTAGCATCATCACCACCACAACATCATCATCATCATCATCATCATCATCATCACCACCACCACCATCATCATCAGTAGCATCATAGCCACCACAACTATCATCATCATCATCATCATCATCAGTAGCATCATCACCACCAAAACTATCATCATCACCACCACCACCACCACCATCATCAGTAGCATCATCACCACCACAACTATCATCATCATCATCATCATCAGTAGCATCAGTAGCATCATCACCCCACAACTCTCATTATCATCATCATCGTCGTCGTCGTCAGTAGCATTATCATCACCACCACCATCATCATCATCATTTTCATCACCATTAGGATCATTATCATCAGTAGCACCATCAAGATCATCATCAATAGCATCATCGTCACCACCACCACCATAATCATTATCATCGTCGTCATCATCATCAACCCCATCAATACGTAAGAATTATTTTTGATCATCTTGATTTTTATAACACCATAGACACTGCCATCTTCTTTGTTATCAGCATCGTTATTTCAAAAAATGTGATGATCAAATTCTAAACCGCTTTAATGGGTATCTGCTCCTCCTCATAAACATCAGCACCCGAAGCACTGCAACCCTTTGAAATACACACACATTGATACGAAAAAGTTGAAACGGTGCACATGCCATTAGTTAGATATAACTCACGAGTGAGTGAGTGAGTGAGTGATCGAATGAAGGAGCGCGCGAAACCACTCCCGCTTTTCCAGCGACCGTAACACCAGAATGCATTTTTCAGAAAAACATTCCCTCCAACATAAAACAAAATCACCACAACATATTGCGTGGCAGAATCCCTGTTAACTCCCCTCCCACAGTTTACAGAAGCAGCCAGGTGATCACGTAATGCTTTTACAAACCAGCTTCGCCTTTCAATGTTCGTGTTTTACGTCCTGGTAGGTCTCTTTATGCTACGGACCCTAATAAACGGACATCAAGAATTCAACAGTCTCGTGTGCTTTCGGAATCTCCCCATTACGACATGGAAGAAAATTATATACATTAACCAATGTTTTTTTGCTGCTTTTTTTCCTGCAAATGTCATCCTTCTTTGTTCGGCTATGATTTGCTAAAAGGAACTTCCATGATCTGGAATCAGTGGGATATGAGTCCCTCAAATAGTCTGCTGAATTCGCCCCCTGGTATTCGCGAGGCCAGCAAGGCCATAAAGACTCCCATACGACCCGATCAATCACTTCCAGCGCATTATGTTTGGAATAACAGAAGCATAATTATTCACATCCTGCTTACCACCCGGTGTCAGGGGATCGGGAAGCTGCTGAAGAAAGTGCATGCCGATGTTACGTTGGTTCTTTGAATCAATGACAGTTTGGTAATATATTGATTCTATAAAGATATAATGATGATATACTATAAGTAATGGGAAAATGATATCACTTCAAAGGGATGGAGCTGTGATGATTCTATAAAGTAACGGTAGTTAGATATCATAGTGATTCTATACAGTTATAACAATGATATGAGTAATTGTTTGTTATTGTTGTGAAATTGAAATAGTGAACAAAGAATATGATAATATAACAGTAATGGTAGATTGATATTGTCCTGATTCTATGAAATGTAATGATAAAACAGTAATGGTACAAAATGTAGGTTGATATTGTATTGATTCAATAAAATATGATAATAAAACGGTAATGGTAGGTTGATATTATATTGATCCTATAGAATATGATAATAAAACAGTAATGGTAGGTTGATATTATATTGATCCTATAGAATATGATAATAAAACAGTAATGGTAGGTAGATATTATATTGATCCTATAGAATATGATAATAAAACGGTAATGGTAGGTTGATATTATATTGATCCTATAGAATATGATAATAAAACAGTAATGGTAGGTAGATATTATATTGATCCTACAGAATATGATAAAAAAACAGTAATGGTAGGTTGATGTTATATTCACCCTATAGAATATGATAATAAAACAGCAATGGTACAAAATGTAGGTTGATATTATATTGATTCAATAAAATATGATAATAAAACAGTAATGGTAGGTTGATATTATTTTGATCCTATAGAATATGATAATAAAACGGTAATGGTAGGTTGATATTATATTGATCCTATAGAATATGATAATAAAACAGTAATGGTAGGTTGATATTGTATTTATCCTATAGAATATGATAATAAAACAGTAATGGTAGGTTGATATTATATTGATTCTATAAAATATGACAATAAAACGGTAATGGTAGGTTGATATTATATTGATTCTATAGAATATGATAATAAAACAGTAATGGTAGGTTGATATTATATTGATCCCATAGAATATGATAATAAAACGGTAATGGTAGGTTGATGTTGTATTCATCCTATAAAATATTATAATAAAACGGTAATGGTAGGTCTATTCAATAATGATTCTATAAAGTGAGGTAATAGTATAATTCTATCAAAAAGCAATAATGATGTAAGTAAAGGTAGGATAAAATGGAAGTTATAAAGTAACGACAGGGTTGTGTTATTTTAGTTATAAGGTAACGGTAGGGTTGTGTTACTAGGTTATTAAATAACGGTAGGGTTGTGTTACTAGGTTATTAAATAACGGTAGGGTTGTGTTATTAGGTTGAAAAGTAACAGTAAGATTGTATTATTAACTTTTAAGGTAACGGTAGGTTATTAGCTTCTATGTAACAGTAGGATGATAGCAATTCTACTTATATTGGTACCAATACCCTAACACACAATCAGAGCGAATAGTGGTTCACTTTCGTCGCCTCCTAAGACAAACCATATCAAAATCTTCTCGGTGAGGCAAAGTTTGGGGCGATTGATTTCCGATATCTTTCCCCGAGTCTAGGTGAGCTATCATAACCCAAGTAAAATTGACGTTATTACAAGCATATCAAACACATAGACACACTAACACGTAAGCACACACACTTATACACACATAGGAACACACACACACACCATTTGTACAGACCTGATATGCTCCTTGCAGCTCCTTTCAATTTGAACCGCTTGGTAATGTCATTAAACCTTTTAAAAACTTAAGTTACGAGTCTTTAGACTATTTCTCCGAGTTTTCAGGGGGTATAAATCAAATTAATTAGATGAGGAAATCTTGGAGAAAACGATCCTTGAAGACTCGTTCAAGCAGCCTTCTCAAAGTTGAATTATGCATTGCGATCTTCAATGTACGGTGGAGCACAAGGGCCACCTCGCTCTAACGGGATTTCTATCAAAGTGTCGCGCTGCATCCCAGAGACACACACGAGGTGAGGTGAGGTGAGGTGAAATTGGGTTTTACGTCGTGCTTGAGAATATTTCGCTCATATGACGACGTGCATGCGTTGTCTGTGTATGTGCGGCTGCTTGTACTAGCCCAGACTGACGCTGGTTTTATAGAGCTAGCCCACTGAGATACCATGCCGCAGTGAAGCAGGAATACCCCACTCAGACACATTATACTGACTCCGAGCCGACCAGTCCTTGTTGTACCCATTAATGCCGAGCGCCAGGCAGGGACCAACAAGTACCATATTTTAACGTCTTTTGGTATGACGCGGCCAGGGATCGAACCCGCGACCTTCCGCTCTCCGGGCGGACGCTCTAACCACTACACCACGGAGGCGGTCTCAGAGACACACGAACAGCTATCATGCGTATACATTGCAGCATGAATGAATGAGATTGGTTCAAAAGCATTGAAAGAGTTTCAGTTATCTCCCAGCATGTCAGACTGATGTTGAAGGGGGGGGGGGGTATTGGATGTATATTCTTGATTGCTACCACTTTGGTGACAAGTGAGTGACTATGGTTTTACGCCGCGTTTAGCAATATTCAAGCAATATCATTGCGGGGGACACCAGAAATAGGCTTCACAAATTGTGCCCGTGTGGAGTGAGTGAATATAGTTTTACGCCGCGTTAAGCAATATTCAAGCAATATCACGGCGGGGCACACCAGAAATAGGCTTCAAGCACTGTAGACATGTGGGGAATCGAACCCGGTGCATTGGCGTGACAAGCGAACGCTTTAACCACTAGGCCACCCCATCGCTCCTCCCTTCATGGGGATAATGTTTGAAGCCCTCCTTGGCATTGGTGGAATATGGTTCATCATTAATGAATGTTCGTTCTCTCAATACTTTGGGGGTTGATTTCTACCTGGGATTCGCACACACACTCTCGCAGTAAGGCACCAAATGTTGTAAACAATCAACTCGCCAACACAAGTCAGCGATCTATCGTTCCTTGGTTGGTTGGTTAACGCCGCGGTGGTCTGTAAATAATCGAGCCTGGACCAGACAATCCAGTGATCAACAGCATGAACATCAATCTACGCAACTGGAATACGATGACATGTGTCAACCAGGTCAGCGAGCCTGACCACCCGATCATGTTAGTCGCCTCTTACGACAAGCATGGGTAACTGAAGATCAGTTCTAACTCGGATCTTCACGTGTGAGCGATCTATCCTTCTCAGTGAAAATGGAAGTCCGTGGTACTTGTCTACATCACCTACTTTCTGTACTCCCGATAAGTTGGCTCGATTCCCGTGGCCGAAGGGTAAAGGCCTTTCGAAATTAACAGTTGTCA